CCCCCCGCATTTTCCGGCCCGTGTGACCGGAGCCAGACCTAATTAACAGCCTGGCCGAAATCAATCCCCCCGGAGGCCCTCGAAACTCTCCAGAAAACGGGGAGGGAGTGGGCAGTCCATACCTCCAGTGTGGGAGCTGCTCCAGAACAAATTTGGCACCGTTGTTCACAGTTCTCTGGAATGGGCTAATGCCGTAGACCAGAGGTGTCCAACTCATTTGCTATGAGGGCCAGATCAGACATAAATATCATTTTGTCGGGCCGGGCCATGTGTGCCACAAAACGTAATGCCAGGGGTATAAAGGACAGCAGCTGGTAAGCTCCGAGTTGGTGTGTCCTCACTACAAGGCCCCATGGGCTGGGAGGGGGGTGCAAAGGAAAACCCGTTTGGGTGGACTGGGGAGCCAGCGGTGCAGCACTGGGCAGATGCTCAGTGCAGCACTGGACGGGTGCTCCCATGCCGCTTGACTGCTGCAGATGAAGCTGTTCCACCATGCTGAAGCCACTGTCGGAGTGGCTCCGCCCACTCCCCCCAAACAGTCTCCTGTTCCCTCCCTCGCACTAGTTGCTCGTGGGCCGCATAAGAGCCATGGATGGAAGGGCCAGTTCCGGCCCCCGGAGCCTTATGTTTGACACCCCTGCCATAGACTCTTCCTTGATTGGAGGGACTGCTAGGAGGGACGTAAGATGCAGACGGGTGAGTGTCCTTGGGGGGAAAACTTTCTGTGTCCGAGACCCTGGAGGGCCACAGCCAGGCAAAGGAGACAGTGGTCAGCGAGGTGGACCAGTGGTTTGAGCTGGCAGCAATATTGGGTGAGAGGAGGGATTTACTCAGTAGCAGAGCCCCCAACCGCCTTTTAAGTTCATCAGAGCTCAGCAGCCGCCACTACACCATGTGGCAGTGAGTTCCACAAGCCAACTGCCGGCTGCACGAACCAATACTGACTTCTGCCTGTCTTAAATTGGCTGCCGATTGGTTTCAGAATGTGGACGAGTCCTTTCTCTGCCTGAGACCCTGCGGAGTTGGCTGACCGCCAAAGCAGACCATAGAAAGCTGGCTCAAGCTAGAATGTATATTGGGGGGGGCAGTATTCACGCTTTCTTCTCCTTGGCAACCCAAAGCGACCCTTGGATTTGTGCAGCTCTGTGAGATTTTTCGCTCTATAGTTAAGTTGTCGTATGGAACAGTTTGCGCCACTGTGGGAAATGTACACTGAGATCTGAGTTGATGCACTTTAACACAAATTGAGCTCTGGACGTAGATTTTTTTTTTTTAAAAGCATATCTGCAGCCCAGTAAACACGTCCCCGGACGACATTAATAAGCGGTTTCACTTGGGACCCAAGTTTCCGGTCCTAGTTGTTTGTCGTCTCTTTCTAGCAACAAAACAAGTCCTTCTCTTCCAAGCGAGGGTCACTCAGATTTGGAAATAAACTTCAGAAACAGGATGTTTGAGGGGAATGCCATTATGTACTCTGTGTTATGTGTACATGTGTAATATACACAAAATCTTTGCCCTTTTTCTTGGAGCATGGGCTTGTTCCGCGGGTGGGAATTTCCTGGCTAAATTGCATTAACGTAACAAAGACCTGGAGCTGCGGTGGCTCAAGTGGTTAAGACGCTGAACTGCAGGCTGTGGATGGTCAGTAGTTCAGCAGTTCAAGACCCAGGTGCCGCAAGACGGGGTGAGCTCCTGTCTCTAGTTCCAGCTCCTGCCAACCTAGCAGTTCGAAAGCAAGAAATTGCAAGTAGATAAATAGGTACCACTTTGGTGGGAAGGGAACAGCGTTCCGTGCGCCTTGGTGTTTAGTCGGGCTGGCCACATGACCACGGAAACGTCTTCGGACAGCGCTGGCTCTTCGGCTTTGAAACGGAGATGAGCACCGCAACCCTAGAGTCAGATTCGACTGGCTTTCGAGCAAGGGAACCTTTACCTTTACCTTTTTAACAAAGACCTGAAACCCTGTTTTTGAATGTCTGCAGTTCCTGTTAGAGGTTGACTGGTGTGGTTAGTCCAGTTACCACTAGTTAGAGTGCTTAAATAGAGCTACAAACGCAACAGCGTTACTTTACCAGGTTACTCAGCTTACAAAGCTACACAGAGCCACGTTGCAAGTTTAGGAGAAATACTTCTCTCTTTATTTGAGAAGTACACTCTTGGATAGGAAAGAGTAGGGACAGGGTAGAGTACTAACTTACTAGCTAAGGATGGAAGCAGATGGCGAGAGGCCCGTCTGCCTCATGTTGCCAAGAGAGGACAGCACGTCTCTTGGTACGTGCAGGGAGAGACTTCATCTTCATCAGAGAGAACGGAAGGAAGGAAATTGCCCCTGAGAACACAATCTGCATTTCAAAGTGGACAGTGGCAGAAGAGTAAACACAGGAAGAAAGGTCAGTGTGCCCATCTAGCTATCTAGTCTCTCTTGCCACGAAGTCTGGAGGTCTGAGATAACAGGGACATTGCACCTGGAATTTCCAACAGTTCCTGTATGTATTGAATAGGACAGTAAGAATCTCTTGATAAGTCTAGCAAAGTAGACTTATCATACATTCCTACCCAGGAATAGAGATGTGAAGGCCCAGGGAAAAAATGGAAAAATTCGGGAGGAAAACGTGTTTTTTTCCTGAAGCCTTTTTTGTTTTTTTCCAAAAAATTGAAAAAATGAAAGAAAAAAAATTGATTATGGAACGTTTTATTTTAACATGATGAATAAAATATTTTAGGACAAGGTGTTCAAATATTTTCCAAATCATTTCTAAAAAACATGTATGGTATCAGATTGATCTAATTTCTGTGCACTGAGGACAAGCAAGTCCTAGGTTACAAACTGAACTCTCCAATGCAAGAACAAGATGCATTTCTTCCTTTAGGAGGTGCTATTGTCACAAGAAAAGAAAAAGGTTTCAGTTTTGTTTTTGCTTGTGGGTGGGTATTCTGTTTGTAATAATTGTTTGGATACACTATATTTTTAATATGCTAGTTGTGATCATTTCATGCCAAGTAAAAAGGTCCCTAGTCATATTTTATGTTCCTAAAGTAACAGGCTGACTTTCAATCTGGAAAAGAAAAAAGAAGTGCCAATGTAGCATTTTTTTCAATTTTTCTTGAAAATTTCCGTTTTTTCAAAAAAGGGGGGGGGGACAGGTTTTTTTCCGAGCTTCAAAATTTCCGGAAATTTTACATCTCGACCCAGGAACAAAGACTGCAAGGAAAAGCCCTCCTGACTGTCCGGCCAATCAAAGAAGCTTGTCTGGTGGGCACATCACAGGACTTTTTGGTGGTAGCCCCACAGTTACGGATCAACCTCCCCAGGGAGGTGTGAATGGCCCCCTCACTTTCAATTTTTACAAGGCAGCTGAAGAGAGTTTTATTTAGGACTTCATTTGACTGATTTAGTTTTTACTGGCAGTTTTTAAATTGCGGCCGTTTATGTGCCGTTTCATTCGTATTGCTTTGATTGTGTTTTTATAACCGTTTTAATGTATATTGCAAGCCAGACTTCTTGCGCCGACGACGAAGCCTGCACATTAACCCTCGTTAAGCGGTCTGTGGATTTTATGATGCCTTGTTCTTCCTTGCAGTGCTTGAGTCCTGACCCTTCTCTCCCACCCCCGCCGGGGGCCCAGCCGTCTCCCGGTTCCCACGGAACTCA